CTCGGGCGGACGGCCCGGGGACAAGGCAGAGTTCAAAAAGGGCGACTCGGGCGAAGGCCCGGGGGCAAGGCAAAGTCCAAGGTGGGGGACTCGGGCGGACGGCCCGGGGGCAAGGCAGAATCCAAGAAAGAGTCAGGGGGCCGGGCCCGAGGTCGAAGACCGCGGCTCTCAGGGGGCCGGGCTCGAGGGCGAAGACCAGACAGCTCCGGAGGCCGGGCAGGACCCGGTGTCGGCAGAACAGGAACCGGAGCCGGTGGGACAGGCTTCGGCAGGAACCCCCACGGAAGAGGACCAGGAGTTGGCAGGACCCCCGGCGAGACAGGTGACGGCGGGACCTCCAACGGAACAAGACATGGGATTGGCAGAACCCCCGGCAGAAGAGTCGTCGGCGGGACCCCCAACGGGACAGGACACAGGGTTGGCAGGACCCCCGGCAGGAGAGTAGTCGGCGGGACCTCCAACGGGACAGGACATGGAGCTGGCAGGAACCCCAGCGGAACCTCCAACGGCACAGGACATAGGGTTGGCAGGACCCCCGGCAGAAGAGTCGTCGGCAGGACCCCCAACGGGACAGGACACAGGGTTGGCAGGACCCCCGGCAGGAGAGTAGTCGGCGGGGCCTCCAACGGCACAGGACATGTTGGCAGGACCCCCGGCAGGAGAGTAGTCGGCGGGGCCTCCAACGGCACAGGACATGTTGGCAGGACCCCCAGCGGAACCTCCAATGGCACAGGACATAGGGTTGGCAGGACCTCCAGCGGAACCTCCAACGGCACGGACATAGGATTGGCAGGCCCCCCGGCAGAGGAGTAGTTGGCGGGGCCTCCAACGGCACAGGACATAGGGTTGGCAAGACCCCCGGCAGAGGAGTAGTCGGTGGGGCCTCCAACGGGACAGGATATGGAGTTGGCAGGACCCCCAGCGGAACCTCCAACGGACCAGGACATTGGGTAGGGACTTGAGACGTGACTCGAGAGGGGACTTGAGAGGAGACTCTAGAGGAGACTCGAGAGGGGAACCAAGGGGGGACTCCAGAGGGAACTCGAGAGGGAACTGGAGAGGGGACTCGAGAGGGAACTGGAGAGGGGACTAGAGAATTGACTAGAGGAGGGTGTAATGGCAATTTCCTTTTCCTATGTCCTATATATTTTTGCCGTTACTTTCACAGAAGGGTTGAAAAGTGATCCAGACGCAGACACAAACAGATGATTTTCCGGTCCTTAGTTGTGGTTTATGATGATGTTTATTCGTCTTTACATACCAGGGTTAATTTAGCGTTCTCGTGATTCTATGAGCATCTGCCGGGCTGGTGGAATCGGTATGCTCTTCTCCTACTGTGTCCCCCCCTCCTGTCACCTATGACCTCCTTATATAAACCCGGTGCAGCTAAACCCCGCCACCCAGTGTTCATAAATAATATTGCACTATACATATAACTTAAATAAACTGACACACCAACATCACCCACAAAATGGCTCCTACACACCGGCCCCTAATTGGCTTTAGTATGGGAAAAAAGACAATTACCAATAAATAATAAAGGAGCTATACAAAAGGTGTGTATGTGTTAGCATGTAATTCTTAAAGAATTTGTAGTTTCTTTTCTTCTCTTCTTCTCCCTTATTTTAAGGGTCATCGGTCTTTGCTGTTCTTTATGTCTCAGCTTCCTGGAGCAGACATATCTTTGTTATTGGTCTCACTAAGATGTTGCTCTTGGTTTGAAGTCGAACTGTGCGCACAATACCTTGTGCGTCTGGTTTTGTCTCCAGTATTCTGCCCATTAACCAGGAGCCACGTGGAGCAGTGGAATCAGCCACTACAACAATGTCACCTGGAGCAAAGCTTCTTTTTTCCTTTAACCACCGTTGTCTATTTTGGATTAGAGGCAGGTATTCCTGTGTCCACCTTTTCCAAAAGAGATCTGCCATATATTGCACTTGTCTCCATCTGCGTTTGATGTACAAGTCTTCCTTTACAAAGAGTCCAGGTGGTAGTTTTGGCTTGGTTTTCATCAGAAGAAGATGGTTAGGCGTGAGGGCCTCTAGGTCCATCGGATCGTCAGAAGATTTTGTAATTGGTCGATCATTCAGAATCGCTTCGACTTCACAAAGAAAGGTTTGCAATCCTTCGTCGTCCAGAACTTGTTGCTTTAGAACAGAACACAGCACATTTCGAACCATACGGATCAATCGTTCCCAAACACCGCCGTGATGGCTTCCTGCTGGGGGGTTAAAATACCACCTTATCCCTCGCTGAAGCATAGCACTCTGAATTCTGTCTTGATTCAAACCATTGAGTGATTCCTTTAGCTCTCTATTTGCGCCGACAACATTTGTGCCATTGTCTGACCTTAAAGAGGAAACTTGACCTCGTCGACAAATACATCGTCGTAGTGCATGGATGCAGGAGTCTGTGTCAAGTGCGTATGCAACTTCAAGATGTACTGCTCTGCTTGCCATGCAAGTGAAGATTACGCCATATCTTTTGACAAGACTTTGTCCTCTCTTGATCTCAATAGGACCGAAGTAGTCTACTCCTGTATTTGTGAAGGGAGGTGTATCTGGTAGAATCCTTTCCAAGGGCAAGTCTGCCATTTTCTGTTCTCCAAGTTTTCCACGATGCCGTTTACACACAGTACAGTTTGATATAATCTTTCTTGCCGCAGAGTTAGCTTTGATTATCCAGTACTTTTTACGGAGTCGAGACAGCATCCGATTCCTTCCTCCATGTCCAAGGTCTTAATGAATATCTCGTAACAATAGTGTGGATATGTGAAGATCCTTTGAGAGAATGATCGGATGTTTGGGCTCTTCAGGCATTGCTAGTCGTTTCAAGCGACCACCCAGTCTCAGGAGTCCATGATCCAATATTGGATCCAGTTTGTACAAGCAACTGCTTCCTTTCACATTATGTTTACCAGCTTCTAGTAAAGATAGTTCTTCTTTGAACCGTTGCCTTTGACTAAAAGAAATGACTGCATTTTCTGCTTGAACAAGATCTTCAGGACATAAACATTGTCTGCGGAGTGTTCCTTTAAAAGGCCTGTATCTTCCTTTCGACCTTTTCCTTTAATCTTCTAGGATCCTTTTCAGAGCCATTCACAGTAGTCTGAATCTCCTTTCTCCTTTGAATCAGCTTCAAGAGTGTCGTTTTTACTTTAAGAAGCCAGGCTACAGCAGTCTTCAGTTTTCTCCATGATGAGAAGTGGTTTATCAGAGAGTTTGTGGGGCTCAATGAATCTTTGACAATGACGTTCATTGTGATGTCCTGCTTGATTTCTGGATCATTGCCAGGGATATCTGAATCCACATGAGAGTTTGTCCATTCTCTGTCTGGCTTGGAGAGAAACTCAGGTCCCTTGATCCATCTCCTACAGTTTAAGAATTGGTCTGCCTTTAGTCCTCTAGAGGCTTCATCTGCAGGATTTTCCTTTGTTCCAATATACCTCCATTGTGATACATCCGTGGCATCCCTTATAAGAGAGATCCTGTTTGCTACAAATGTTTGAAAGCGTTTGTTTTCGTTTTTTATGTATTTTAGCACGGTAGTGCCATCAGTCCAGAAGACGGATTGGTCCAGTTGCAGCTGTAATTCGTTCTTCAGCATTTTTCGATTTTGACAGCCAGGACTGCTGCTGTAAGTTCCATTCTGGGAATTGTAACTTGTTTCAATGGTGACACTCTGGATTTTCCTGTTATGAATGAAACATGCACTTCTTTGTTATCATTCTCCAGTCTTAGATATGAAACAGTGCCGTAGCCGCTTTCACTAGCATCAGAAAAGTGGTGCAGTTGTGCATGTCTGACATGACCAAAGCTTGTTGGCTTC